TTTTCTTTTGAATTACACAAACAGTCCCTTCATTGTTGATCAGTTGACAATTCTAATTTTTCTTCTTTACTAAATGCGTTACTTTCGTATTGAAACAAAAAATACAGATATGGTCCCTGCTCTTGTAACACGATGCTACTTTTATTACTAAAATTTTCAAAACCACCCATATAGCATTTAATTCAATTCTAAAAGATTTTAAATAGTTTAAACTTTTGAAAATATTCTAATAACCCCTCAAACATGTTATTAACATATTTTATACATTTACTTATTATTGTTAAATTTATATTATTCATAAATAATGAACTTAAGATGATGGGGAAATTTATACACTGAATTTTACTTATTAGTTAACAAAATATTGATTAGTCGAACAAGACACATGGATAGCTGAGCTAACACGAACGCATAAGATGTTTTATGGAATCATTGTTTTTAGAAAAACTTGTTGGTGAAATGTAGGGTGTAAGTAGCATGAGAAGATTCGGTTAACATCTAACGGTTCCGTGGTTGCTCGCAAATAAATGTTTATCATACAGTTTATATGTGGTTTTTTAGTATTTATTGACAATATGTTTTATGATAAGTATGGTTGCACGCAAATGATGTTTTGACTTATTTATCTACCGGATGATTTCTTGAGATGACATATTTAGTGGGAACGGGTACGGTGTTTAATTGTCGTGAGCATTACGGATGTGTGTGATCGACGGGGATGGAAATTGAGAATTATACTTATTTCCTTTGATATTTAATATTTTTGAGCACAATGGATGGGTTATGCCAAGGGGAAGGGAAACGAGCCTTTGGTTCTTTCTCTGGATAATTAACCGTTCTCCTAAATTGTGTCCTTGGGTGATATGCTTCAATGTATGGTTTATTGAAAATATATGATAAAACTATTTGTTTTTTTAGTAATAGACATATGTGCAACACAAACTCAATAGGTTCTAGGCTTACCCATTTAGAAACTTTAAATGTACACAACCCATGAAACTATTTAGCTAGTGGCAGTGGAAAAGACAAGGAGGAAGATTAATCAAGAAGACAACAAAGCACTAAAGCAGTTCCGTAAAGACGTAACACCTGAAACTGTTCAGTTGAAGGCTTTATTTTAATTTTATTGCTTCCGTTGTAGTTTAGTCAATAGATAAGTTTAGAACTGATCTTGGGAGATGTTGGAACGATTATTTTATTGTTTAATCTATCTTTGAAAATTGGGGTGTTACCGTTTTTTTTATACTTAAATAGTATCGAAAGTAACTCATTTGGACATATAAATGTCAAACATGACTCCTAATTGTAACGTCCCAAAATTCAACCCAAAATTTTCATTTAAAATTAAAAGAATTTGTTCTAATTACAACTTCAAAGATCTAAATAAAACCATTTTATTCAAAACATTTATCAAAGTATAGACATAAGAGTTATTAAGTGTGGAACTCTCCAATAGATGCGATACAATCAAGTTGTGCCCTTCCTTTAATGTAAGAAAACCTGAAACAATTTAAACATAAAACCGTAAGCACAAAGCTTAGTGAGTTCCCCAAGATACCACATATCATACATACATAAAGTCATAGGTATATTTCAACCTAAGTGAATGTTATGGGTCAAATCATAGTCTTACAATCACTTCCTGTCATGGGCCAAATCATGGTCTTTCCTTGCAATGCCAAGGGCCAAATCCGGTCATACCACATATCATACATACATAAAGTCACGGGTCTATTTCAACCCAAGTGAATGCTATGAGCGAAATCATAGTCTTACAATCACTTCCTGTCATGGGCCAAATCATGGTCTTTCCTTGCAATGCCAAGGACCAAATTTTGGTCTTACATGTAAGTGATAGGGGTCAGATCTTGGTCTTTCATATAATTTCCAGGGGCCAAATCCTTATCTTTCATACAATTTTCAAGAGCAAAATATTGGTCTTTTTCCTACAATTATCATGGGCTAAATCTCGGTCTTTCATACAATTTTCAGTGGCCAAATCCTAGTCTTTCATATATTTGTCAAGGGTCAGATCATGGTCTTTCATGCAAGAGTTACAAAAACAACTAGCATCCTACATAGTATAATGAGAAAACTCACTTGATTAACAAGTCGTCTTAACAAATAAATTTTTATACCATCGTGTCAGGAAAAGACACAGCCCGAAACAAGATCCTCATATGTCAAACCCTCCTAAAATACCGAACATTGAATTATAAATATTTAGGCTAAAACTATTTATATTTTATATTTGTAAGATCCATTTAACATCGTTAGTTAATTACTTCTAATAATTAATTGACTTATTCTCTTATTTCATTATAATAAATCATATCTAATTCCAACGGATTAATATGCCGTTAACTCTTTTAATTTATTCGTTTCTCCATTTTAAATGCATATCCAAGTAAATACTCATTTTCATACTACAATCAAATGAAATATACATATACTCCTTCCACGTGTACTTGTAGACCTATATACTCTAACTAATTAACCCATAAGGTTGCTCGGTATGGGCAACGTTGGTAACGGTGCCATATCAGAAAGAAGAAAAGAAGATGTCCTCAACGCCATTGTAGGGATGGTTTTTGTCCATGAACACGACGTCATGATCGGCTAAATAAAGAAGACTGATACTCTCAAAATGGTCGTTGCCTTTCAATACCATCACCACGGGAAATAACATAACATGCAAAAACGGGAGGTCGGGGCGGTGTTTGGGCTGTGGTAACCGCGTTTTCCGACGCTAGGTCACAAAAACGTGAGTGAACGTTGTCTACACCGATAAGTCTAAAAATCAAAGGTGATGTACCTAATGAATAAAGCCTAGCCACGTCAAAAGCTTTAGTACTCCCAATTATTTATTTATTTTAAGATCATCATGGCTTTCTTCTCTATTTAAACACAAGGAAAATGACTTATGAGGGTAACAAAGTGTTGTACTTGTTCTCATTTGGTCCCTTATCTTTTTTTTATCCTTATTATACCATTGAACTTAATATTCCTGCTCACCAAAACCCTCGCGACCGATTATCACCTGTTTTGCCGATTTCCTCATTTTAAAACATTTAATTACGGATGACATGTCGTATTACGTGGACTTAGAACACATTTCATACTCGTTTCTTTAACGCCCCGATTCTCAGGTATTGATTTATATAATTATATTCTTGATTTTAAGGTCTACTCGATGAGTGGGTTGCCCAACTCGTCGAGTAGCAGCGGGTTGGTCCGCGTGTTTTAAGTGACCTACTCGACGAGTAGGAGCTGGAGGATGAAACCCTAATTTCCAGGGTTTTGCACCCTATTTAAGGATCACTTATTCCCCCTAGCCTCTCTTACTTCTTCCCTCGAATTCAGAAACCCTAATTGGTGCTTTCCCTCTTTTTTTTGTGCTTCTTATCTTGAAAGAAGATTCTTGGAGTAAAGGGCTTGGAGTTCAAGAAGTTTGAAGCAAGGGGCTGTTGTAGATCCGGATTCTTCTCTGTCTTGGCATCGTTTTGAAGGTAACAAGTTGTTACCTTGACTCTCCTTTGGTTAGATCTCTTCATTTATGAGTTTAGAGCCCTTTTGGGGTTTTGTGGTGGTTCTCCGATTTGGGTCAAGATCTGAGGTTGACTTTGACCATGGGTTGACTTTTGGACTTTTGGGGGCAGTTGACTTTGACTTTGACTTTGACCATGGGTTGACTTTTGGACTTTTGGGGGCATTTTGGGAACTTATGAACATGGTTGTATGGCGATTATAGGTGGTGGAGTTTTTGGCAGTGATCCGAGAGTGTGAGCTTATCTTTCGAGTCGACATTTTGCAAGGTGAGTTATCCTCACTATACCAATGGGTCTAAGGCACCAAGGCCGACCCTTTATATATTGTATCTGGATTATGGCATGATATGTTTATTGATTACATCCTGGTAGTTAGGATGATGGTATGCTTATGCTTAGTGACCTGGTTAGCTCAGTGTCTTGGTTATAGGATGATGCTATGTTAGTGACCGGTTAGGTCTATATCACGGTTATTGGGATGTTGCTATGATTAGTGATCTGTTATATCGGTTTGACTGTTATATGATATGAGCTAGCATATGATATTTATGTGCACATGTTTGTTTGATTGGGGGTTAGGTTGAGGTGGTCGTGATTTGTGTTGTAGGCCAACATACCCGGGGAGCGATCTGGATAGGCTGTAGGCCCTACGAGGCGGTCCAGTCATGCCGAAGGCTAGGGAGCGGTCCAGATAGGCTGTATGCCCTACGAGGCAGTTCATTCAGGTTGAAGGCTCATTATGCATGCTGATCTGTAATTGTTATTTGTTGTGGTTACATTGGTATGGCGTTGGTATTTTGTGGGAACTCACTAAGATTTCGAGCTTACAGTTTCAGTTTATTGTTTCAGGTACATCAGGGGATCACGGCAAGGCGAAGGCATGATCGTACAACTCCTCGTGATTTGTTTATGTTTCTGGGAAAACTCCGATATTAGATCTTTTGAAAACAAACTTTGTAATGAAGAATGGTTTTAAATGTTTTTGAAAAAGTTTTAATTTGCCATGAAATTTTTGGGTGTTACAGTTTCTCTTTCACACCTTTCTCCTTACAATTAGGGTTCATAGGGAAATTGAAGACAACAGTTCAATCGAAGATTACAGTTACGAAATTAAAGAGAACTGGTGAATGCGAGTGTTATAGTGAAGAAGATGGCCTCCGGTTCCAAACGACGTAAGTATTTGATAGTTTATGTACATTATAATGGTTTCTTCGCACCAAAACCATTAGTGTACTTAAACGTTGTTGTTGTTTCAATCTGTTATGTCGATTTTGGTGCAATGGATCTCAAATATTTTATTTTGTTCGTTGAAAAGTTGATTGAAGGCAGTTGCAATAATGTATAATATTGCACTAGAAATGAACCGGTGGAAGAGAGTATTAGGAAAATTGGGGATGATGCTGACAACTTTGAGTTTATTGAAATGGTTTATAGTGATGAAATGGTCTAAGAATGAATGTGTATATAGACCATGAAAATGAACTTGTACTTGATTGGGATGATATGGAAGTAGTAGAAGATGATGAAGGGCATTATTCTGAGCAAGACCCGGATGATGATAATGATTCACAACTTTCTGATGATATTCCATATGAGCATGAAGCAGATGATTATATTCCTTCTCTTGACAAGACTATTGGTGATGAATTCTTACACCGGGTGTCAGGTATATGTAAGGATACACATGATGAGGTTGAAACCAACAATGGGGATGAAAAACCAGTGTACCCTATCCATAATGAGAACCAGAAATGGGACAAAATGGTGCCAGTTCTAGGTATGAGATTCTCTAACCCTTTGGAATTGAAAATTTGTGTGACTAACTATGCAGTGGAGAATGGTTACAACCTTTATTATGAGAAAAATGATAGTCAGAGGTTATTAGTAAGATGTTGTAAAGATAACAAGAACCCCTCTTGTCCTGTTAGACTGTGGGCTTCCTGGATGAGTAGTGAAAGGTCTTTCCACATTAAGTCCTTAGTTGATGACCATAATTGTTCAAGAGTCTTCAAACTTGGTTCCATTGTAACATATAAATGGATTGGAAAGCATTTTAAGAATCAGCTTTTGCATAACCCCAAAATGAGCATAAGGAAAATGAAAGCCAAGGTAAGCACAAAGTTTAACTTGATTGTTAGTGTGACTCAATGTAGAAATGCTAGGAGATATGATTTGCATGAGATAGAGGGTAGTTTGATAGAACATTATGGTAAAGTATAGAGTTATGGAGAAGAAATAATGAGGACAAATCCTGGTTCAACAGTAAAGATATATGTGAATCTCATGCCTGATTCCACCACTTACTTTTCTAAAATGTATGTTTCTTTTAAGGGTGTGAAGGATGGTTGGATTTCAGCATGTAGGAGGGTAATAGGGGTAGATGGTTGTTTTTTAAAGGGTATATGTAGAGGCCAACTGTGAGTAGCTATGGGTAGGGATGCAAACAACCACATCTTCCCTATTGCATGGGTTGTGGTGGCAGTTGAAAATAAGGAAACATGGAAGTGGTTTCTTGACCTCCTGCTGGATGACATTGAAATGAGACTTGGTCATGGATTGACCCTCATATCAGACCAACATAAAGTATATTTTATGTTATGTTTTGTTTCAGTTGAATGTTTTTGTTACGTCATCTATTTCATGTTTTCTTTCAAGGATTAGTAGAGGCTGTCAAAGAAAGGGTTCCAGCAGCAGAGCATAGACAATGTGCTAGGCACATCTATGCTAACTTCAAGAAAAGATTCAAAGGTGAACAATATAGGAAGTTGTTTTGGGCAGTTGCTGCTAGTACTACTCAGCCTAAATTTGAGGTAGAAATGAATTCCATAAAAAATTTGACCATTTGGCTTATAAACACCTCATGGAAAGGGACCCTAAAAGTTGGTGCAGGGCATTCTTTGAAGTGGACAGGGCTTGTGATGCTTATGAGAATGGCATATCTGAAAGTTTCAACTCTGTTATTGATCTTGCTAGGAAGAGACCACTCATCACCATGTTGGAAGAGATTCGGATTTATGCAATGGAGAGGATGTATAAAATGTTGCTAGAGGAACAAAGTTGGGGTAATTTAAAAATATGCCCATCTATAAGATTAAAGATATCAAAGTTAAAGAAACATCAAAGGTATGCTATAACTTCCATTTTATAAGTATTATTATCCCATCTATAAGATTAATAGAACTTGTTATTTTTGTGGACAAATTTTGGGGAGTTATACCTTATGGGATACAAAAATATGAAGTTAGGCTTGGAAATGATGGATATGTTGTGGACCTTACCAACAAGACATGTGGATGTAGATCTTGGAAAGTATCAGGTATCCCATGTGTACATGCAGTGGCAACCATTTCATACCTCAACAGGAATGCAGAAGATTATGTTGCACCATGGTTCCATACAGCCATGTTCTTGACTTGTTACAACCATACCATTAATCCACTTAATGATAGTTCCATGTGGCCTGAAGTTCCATACATGAAGCCATTGCCTCCCCAAAAAAGAAGGTTACCAGGAAGGCCAACCCTTAAAAGGAAAAGGAATCAAACTGAGAGGGAAATCAAGGGGAAAACAAGGCCTACTATCTCAAAAGCAGGTACACTTATGAGATGCACCATTTGCAGAGAAAAGGGCCACAATAGATCAACATGTCCTATAAGATCAGAAGATGTAGCATCCGCTTCAAGGCCAAAAAAGGAAGAAAGCTAAAAAATGTAAAAAAGAGAAAGGTATGCTATTAAAACAATTTAATTATACTACAACATCCAACTCATTAACTGCACCTTTGTATAGTAGGTACTGTGGAACCAGTTCAAGTGGATCAAGTACAAGTGGAGGAACCCGTTCAAGTGGATCAAGTACAAGTGGAGGAACCACTTCAAGCGGATCAAGTACAAGTGGAACCAGTTCAAGTAGATCCAGTTCAAGTGGATGATCCTGCTCAACTTGTTGATGATGTTCAAGTAGATGATCCTGCTCCACATGTTGATGTTCAAGTGGATGATCCTGCTAAACCTGTTACAACTGGGAAGAGGATACAAAAATACTCAGAAATAATTACTAAGATAGGGTTGAAGAAAAAAGGAAGCACTGATCACCACCCAATGGTGTTGGAATGATTTTATGTTTTAATATTTTTGGGAAGACAAACTTTTAGTCATGACACATCTTTTGACATATTAGGACAAATGTGGGCACAGCTTTTGTAATGGTGCACATGCTAATGGAATCTTACAAGTTTGCCTTTTATCTATATTATATGCTTTGGTGTTTGGCTATTTACCCATGGATTGTTTCAAATAAGTCAAAGCACATTAAGAAATGTTTGATGTTGTTGTTGTGGTTAATCCGGACCATTTTACCCATGGATCACATTAAGACATTAACAATTGATTGCTGCTATGCTTAATCTGGACCATTTTACCCCTGCATCATGTCCAATTCACTATATTAAAGACACTAATCCGGACCATTTTACCCATTGATCAAATTAAGACATTAACAATTAATTGCTGTTATGCTTAATCTGGACCATTTTACCCCTGCATCATGTCCAATTCACTAACCTATTAAAGACATTAATATTTCTTTGAAACCAATCAAAACATCAAACTATCATTAATCAACAAGATTTAGTCTTAATACATCAAACAAAATACAACATTAAGCCAAATTTTCTTGTCTAACAAAATTTAGTCTTTGAATTCAGCTTCACTAACTACTTCTTAAACACAAACAACAGAAACAACACAATCATCAGAACTTTATGAGTAAATAGCTTCCATTTGAATTTTTCAAACTCTTGTCTAACAACCAAATTTTCTGGTTCCATCTTCATCTTGTATATGTTGATCTCATTTTCCAATGTAAAAACTTTGAGGGTTATATTGCACAGTTCTTTTTGGTCCTTCCCAGAATTGACTTCATTTTCAGGGGTTTCAAGCTCCAACCATTCCCAAAACTTGCATTTTGGTCCTTCGTTCTTGAAAAAAGTAACAAATTGGTTAAAGAAAGACGATTAAACCAAAAAGTAAAAACATTTTATTTACCATGGAGTTAGGGCACATTCTGAATTTTTTTCCTAGATTGTCTTTAGTTCGTGAAGTTCGTACGTGAGATGGTAACCTACAATAACAAGGATTTCAGGTTGAAATTCAATATTTCATTTGGAAGAGATAGAAGAAGAAGAAGAAGAAGAAGAAGAAGAAGAAGAAGAAGAAGAAGTCATATCGATCTAGGGCACAATTGATGAGAATGATGCATACATCGGCTTAATATTGTATGACTTGCATTTAATAAGCCAAGTGGATGCCACATAATAGCCACATAAGCAGTAACCTACAACAACCGGTAGCGAGGGTTTCGGTGAGAAGGAATATTAAGTTCAATGGTATAATAAGGACAAAAAAAGATAAGGGACCAAATAAGAACAAGTCCAACACTTTGTTACCCTCATAAGCCATTTTCCCTTTAAACACGCCATGAAAACCTGCCCTAGTCCTCTTGACCAAATAACACGTATCTTCCTACATCTTGAAATCACACACAATACTTACTTAGATTTCATCCTTGCTTTACCGGAGAACTAATTAGCAGGAAAAGAATGGAGTATCACATGCCGGCTGTCGATACTGCATCAGAAAACCACTTGCTCTTGTTGAAGGTCTAACACAACGTCAGAGGATAGCGTGGTCACCGGAAAAACACAGCATACCATCGGTTCATGGCTTGAAGTATCGTCAGAGTTGGAGGTTTGTTGGAGGCGATATCTAGTTATTTCACTAAACTGTCCCAACCTCTTTCTCTCTACTAAACGATGTTCGGGCATCACCAATGGAGATTCAAGCAGTCATCGGGAAAATACTGGAAACAATCGAAGCTCACACACACACACACACACTTGACGACCCAACCCATTACATCTCTCTCTCTCTCCAAGTAAAGGGTAATTTGGGTATAACGCCCGCAGATTCGAGCTAGTCAATTTAGAGGCAATAAGCATCAAAAAAACGACTTTTTGATAGAATATTATTCAGAGTAAATAATCTTAACCAAATTATAGTATATTTCACAAGGATTTCGTTCATATACAGAACTCTGAAATCCTACTTATAACGAATAAGTTATGATCCGTCGAAGTTTTACGACTAAACCGGCACGACGCCGCGTAACGTAAAAAGTGAAATTTTGATAAACTAGTTTTTAGCCTTAGAGATCTAAACAAAAGTCGTAGTATATGTTAAACCGAGAGCGTGAATATAAAGAATGTCAAAATCTGACTTCGTATGAGGAAGTTATGATTTTTCTAAGATGTATACGTTAAACCACCAGCCTGAGCCACAAGTGATTATGCATGCACCAGAAGTAGCAGTTGCACCGAGCCAATCACGATGGTTAGAGTACAAGCAATGATACAGATGATGTTGGATCGTCAGATGGAAGAGACAAGGCGTCTAGTACAACAGAATAGGGATGAACCTACTGTGCCTATTATGCAGCCTAAATTGAACATTGAACAGTCAGAAGATGGGAATTATAGTAGAACCGTTAGTCAAGCTGAACCGCCAGTGGTTAGAAGAAACAACCAAGATGAAGGAATTGAAAGTAATGGATGCAAGTATAAAGACGTCACAACTTGCAAACCATCAACTTTTACTGGGAAAGAAGATCCAATCGGAGTTCTGGACTGGATCTCCGAAATGGAGCTAGCTTTCATAACATGTGGTTGCAAGGGCAAGCTACAAACCACTTATGTTGTGCGTTAGTTTAGGGGTGGGGCTGTTAGTTGATGGAACACTTTGGGAAAGATCATAAGCCCCAATGAGCCACTACAATTGCATGGGCAGAATTCTTGGTACACTTTAAAGACAAGTTCTGCTCAGCCCAAAACATGCTAGAGCTGGAGAACTAGTTTCTGACACTGAAAAGGGTAACATGTCCATTGATGAGTATACCAAAACCTTCACAGACAAGATGTAGTTTGCTTTGTGCATCGTCCCTGACGAGCTAACAAAAATCGATAAGTATACAATGGGACTGCCATGGGAGTACATTGTGCCAGTGTACCAGGCACCTACTCTTGAGGCGGCCATCTGGGCTGCTAAGTCTATTGAAGAACTTATCAAAGGTAGAACCGCCAACAAGGTTGAAGTTGGAGAGAAAAGGAAGATTAAGGTATCCTCAAGATTTGATAAGAAAGGAAGATTCACGAAGCCCAACCTGAACGACCAAAAGTATGGAGGTAGTGGTGGAACCAAGTGGTGTGAAGTGCAAGAAGAAGCACTTCGGAAGATGTGATGTAGAAGTGACTTGCTATAAGTGTGGTAGGATCGGTCACTATTCCAAAGATTGTACATTTGACAACAAGAAGTGTTACGGATGTGGAGATGGTGGGCATATTTCGAAGAACTGCCCAAAGAAAAATGAAGCTGCAAGGAAAAATGCGTCGCCGAAGCCAAAGGAAAGAGCATTTCAGATGATCCTGATGAAGCAGATGACGACGCAAGGGAATAGGATTAAGTAAGGATCTATAATGTAGCCACATAAATAGTATCATGTGGTGTAGCCTAGTATAAGAGGCATAGTGTATGGTGAACTTGAATATTTTGTAATCGTTTCAAGAAATAATATAAACCTTAGTTATGTTATCCAATGTGCTAAATGACTATGTGAAATTCTTGTATGGTGACTTGGTGAACTGAGAGGAAATACTTGGGACGAGTATGAGTAGGTGTGAAAGGTAGTAGAGGCCTATACTACTGGAAGCACAGGACTCGCACTTGATTTAGGGAAAGTCGCAAGCTTAACAAGGCACTAGTAATTGATTATGTTTTGTTCATGTATGTCATAACCATCGTTTCGGTAATGACTAAGAAAATGATTGTTATTCTGACCCTAGTGGTCATATCAAATCGATTCCGACTAAGATAAGTGTGTTATGTGGTTTAGAGAACCAAGTTTGATGTAGCATCTGACTTAAGCCAAAAATATTAAAGTGAAAGATAATCGAAGCAATCAATAGAAGTATTGCTATCGCTGTTAAAGTAAGAAGCTTGTAGCTAGAAGCGCTACATGCTAGAATGTGATTATACTACATTAGAACATGAAGGAAGGTATCTTCCAATCTGGAATCTGACTCAAAAAGATATGAGTCTAAGAGTTGCATCCTACGATGAGAGGTCATTAGAATATGACACATCGGTCTGTTACGATAATCAAAGTAAAGAACTTATCTTAAGTTAAGTATGTTTAAGAAGAAGCAGGAGTCTCCAATAAGGATCGACTTTGTAACTCAAAGGTTATGATTGAAAGACCAATATAGGATAAAGAGCGGGTGCAAGATTAAGCACCGCCAACAGTCAAGAAGTCCAAGAGTTAGAAACTCGTTAGAAAAGACATAAAAGTTACGGTTATTACCTAGGATGAAAAGATAACATATGGAGTCATTATACAAGCCCTGTTTCGTTGATGATTTTGGGACATAATCATCCTAAGGGGGAGATAATTGTAACACCCGCAGATTCGGGCTAATCAATTAAGAGGCAATAGGAATCAAAAAAACAAATTTTTGATAGAAGATTGTTTAGAGTAAATAATATTAACCAAGTTATAGCATATGTCACAAGGATTTCATGCATATAAAGAACGTTGAAATCCGACTTATAACGAAGAAGTTATGACCCGTCAAAGTTTTACAACTAAACCGACACGACGCCGCGTAACGTAAAAAGTGAAATTTTGATAAACTACTTTTTAGCCTTAGAGATCTAAACTAAAGTCATAGTATACGTTAAACCGAGAGCGTACATGTACAGAACGTCCAAATCTGACTTCGTATGAGGAAGTTATGATTTTTCTAAGATTTAGCATAACAATGCACAACCTAGAAATCGAATTTTAAATCGATCGATTTTTAGCCGACACAAACTAAATGAGAATCGAAGATCTCATTAATAGGAGCTCAACGGTATAAAGATAGATGAAAACGAACGTCGGATGACAAAGTTATGAATTTTTAACGGACTTTAACTGTCGAAGCCTATTAAAATATAACTTTAAAAATAAAGTAAAAATTAGCCGACGAAGTCTAAATGAAAGTTGTAGATCACATCGCTACCTA